TTTGTCGACGTTGCAGTTGTACCCGCATGACGTGTTGTATCTCTCGTACATGATTGGTAATAAATAATAATATATCAAAATATCTACGTATTGAAAGCTTGTTATTACTTATTAGTTATGACCGTTTATATTTTATAGCTAATAATTTAATTTTAGAGAAAATTTACTTACTACCGAATTTGTAGAAGAGGATATAAACTGTGCTCGAGTGAAGGGTATTTTTCATATTTTTATTTAAAAACGAATTAAATAGATTTGAAAAAAATGAATAATATTTAAGTTCGTATACTTATTACTTGTAACTACCTCATTTTAAAATTAATATAAGAAAAAACTCTTCGCTCAAGCCCAATTTATGTATCCTATAAAAATTCGATAGTAAGTATTTATTATCTCTAATATTAACCATAAATAAACTATACTAATGAGAAATAAGAATCCAGTACTTACATACATTTGCCATTTTTCTCGAGTGTTTGACAGAGATAACACATTGAGAGGACGCTACACAGAGATATTTGTTGTCTTCGTCTTACAAGTTCGTAACATAGGAAAATTTACTGAGGTTCTGTTAGTGAATGGTCTCCTTTTCACGTTATTCATGTTTGTATATTTTTCTATGTTATTATTATTATTACTTATTGTTTTTTATTGTAAACAGATTGAATATATTTAAATTAAATAAAAATTAAAAAAACATGGCAAATTTACGCTCAGCGGATCGTGTTTAACTTCGTTAGTTTAAAAATTTTAGTGAACTGACTTTTTATGAAATTTTATGGTAAGAACGTTATCTGTGTTTGCATGTGGGTTTTTTAAGATACCTAACTCAATTTTTAAGTGAGTTATGAGCATTTTTAATTTAAACTATATTATACATAAGTTTGGTATAACTTGCTAAAAAATTGAACTATCGTAAAAAACCCACATACAAACACAAATAATGTTAATAACATCAAGTTTCATATAATAACTCACTCAAATTTTTAAACTAACGGAGCTAACTGCTAAACATGATCTGCTGATCTTAAATTTGAAATGTTGCGCACTTGTAAGACAGAGACAACAAATGGCCATGTACCTATAGAGTCCTCTATACAAGAAGGGATAACGCGTAACGTCCTCTTATGATTTGCTAATTTATTGTGCAACTTAACAAGATGTAAATGTTTTCTAGAATATATTGGATAAACTGAGATGGAGTATATTTAAGTTATTGTTTTTACTTAAAAAGTTTGATCAAGTTATACATTATACAGGAATAATAAGTATGAAATAAAATAAGTAAATAATTGGTTTCTGGTAAAACTAATTATTTAATTTTAATTTTCTTGTGTAAATAATGATTTACTGTATCTATCTACAACAACAACAAAAAATGTACCTATTCATTATAATACAAATATAGTATTAATTTGTATCATAAAAAAAAAAAAAAATATTATTCATTAATAATTTCATTAAAATATTGAAATTTATAATTATAAAACTACAAAGTATATTTATAAAATGAATAAATGTAAAAAATATAAAATACATATTTTGTAAGTTGTGACATACAATAATGATGCGGTCGCTTGCATATAGTAGTAGTACCTATATAAGTATAATTATTATTACGAACTTTTTAATTAAGACAAATGAAGCACCAACACCCATCATACAAGTTTCTTATAGATTAATTAATACACGTACAATTTAAGTTAAGTGCCGGTAATTCATTAATATTAATTTTATGTCATGCATATATACACATTTTATACGTCAGTAATTCATTATATTTTGTTGGCCATGTGCAACCTTTTACCTTTCGTTAAGTATAATAATATGATTGAACGCATTACATTAGCAAAACATTTTTCATAAAGAGACCATTAATACTATACACAATTTCAGCGCCCAACTATTTGTAATCTTATACGTCACGTGTGTCAGACATTGTTCGAGATAATATTATAAAAATAATAGCCGCATCAGCTCAAGAAGTACATATCAGCTCTTAAATTTTATGGTTTTCTGAACACCGCCTATTGTATTATGAATCGTGTAATATATAATTTATAATATTATATTATAGTTCAACTCGTTTAGCTTACATATTTTATCGCACAACGTTATACGCATTATTATAGTGCATTTTATTAATATTATTATTGTTATATTAAACCGAACTGTCACGTAATATCCATTCGAACCCTAGTACAGTCCATGTTTTTAAAATACCTAACTAATGAGAAAATATATTGTTGTTGTGTACAATATTCACCGCACGGCACGTTAACTGTCGGGACGCAAAATAATATAATAATATAATATTATATTATTATTACCTATTTAGGTGCACCTATACCTATAGCTTGTGGGTCCACTGTGTAGCAACAGCATTTTATTTAAGTACCAGAGTACAGTGAAAATCACTTATTACGCCAATCCCATTAAACCGAAATGTCGGAGAGCCAAATCTGTCGCTGGACTGCAATAGGTTTTTAAATGGGTACCTATATATTTTTAAATCAGCTGCAGGGTTACCTTCACACGTATAGGACCATAATATGTGCACATAATATAATATTTGCCTGTATTAAATGTAGTGTCCGTCTCTTACGTGTTAGAACTCTGCGAACGAAACATATTATTATCAAACAAGGGTGTAGCCAAGGGGAGGGGGGAGAAATTTTCTTCACACCCGTCCATTGCTAATATAAATATATATTAATGTTTAACGAAATTTTAAATTGATGTAAGCGTTTTAAAAACATACTTGGTTGTCCGCCCCCCCCCCCACCTGATGAAATTTAAAACTGCGATCTTGTTATCAAACACCAATCTATAAGGCTATAACGGTTTGCGGGCACTAATATTGATAGATGATTTTTTCAACAATTTTTTTTTCATCCCCCGACCTAGAGTAGTTCCTGGACACCAGGAAACGTGATTGAAGCCTGATCGCGAGTTGCAGATGGAACTTCGGCGATGGCAGATGCAACCGCGGCAGCAGCGGGTCGACGATCGGACGGCGACGACAACAATACGGGCGGTGGTGACGGTAACAACAGGTGCGTATATCAGCTAAAATATTGGTAAATAATATTATACGACTAAAACACAACTATACTGTTGAAAACAAACAAAGCAAAATAATATTTTAGTATGATATTTAAATTATTATTAATTTAATACCCACTATATACTACTGACACGGTGAATCCACCCAGTCTGAATAATAAATTATAGTTTTACTTGTATATAGTTATATAGATACGACGCCACGATAAGTTAGGTTAGATTGTTGATTTCTAGCCAGATGTAGGTATAAGGTACGGGATGCGCGAGGCGCATCTCACTCTTCTGTCCCCACTCGCCAAACTTAGGCCATTTTAATAGAATGACTTTATTATTTACTTGGTATTTTAGAAAATGATTTTCTTGTTACTTTGTGCAATGAACTTTTCAATAGACAATTATAGTATAATATAATGTAATACTTTATGTAGGTACGTTGCTTAAATAGTCCAGCTGTATATTATGTGCGAACGGATAAACTCGGTAGATAATATTACTTTGAATCCTGAGAGTTTCACGAGTTTGAGGGTAAATAAGTGATTATTTATTTTCAACGATGGTAATTCAACAGGTACATTAAAAATATGTAGGTCACCTACAACTTACCATAGGTACCTACTTAGTAAATTAGTACACGACGAACGTCGCGTCTTTTTCGAATATTTTCCTATATAAGTAGGTATTGATTCCATTGATCTCTTAAATCTGTTCAAAAAGAAAGTATAAAAGAGGCTAAAACAGATCAACACATTTTATGGCGTAGAACTAATATAAAAATCAATGGGGTGCCAGAGACTACCTATACGATAGTTTAAAACAAATAGCTTTTGGGTATATAATATTATCGCTTATTAAAGTTTGTGGATGAACACCAAAAATGTAATGCAGCCTGCGGAGCCAAATGTTGCTGTGTAAATGGCTAATATAATCATACGTGGTCTTACCCGCGTTAAACGGTGGTGGTCGAACATGTCTGAACAAATGATAACCTAATACCTATAGGTACCATAGTCTTAATTTCCAAGTCTATATAATTGGTAGGTTATATAATAGCTATGTATGCATGTATTTTGTATCTTGTATGCATATGTGATCGGACAATCGTGTTATTATGTTCAAAGTACGATATTATAATACCTATTATAGTAATGACGATTGGTCACATCCGTTTCATGGTGATAATTTCAAACTTTTATTACTTGAACACATTTATTTAGAATAAACTAGCAATATCGTTTTTCGTAATTAAAACAATATTATAGGTGTTATTACCTATAACAGGCTACGAGATCAACACCAACTCGGCACATGCCTAACTATATTATACATTTGACTTATAATCCGGATAATATGAGATCAGCACGTTAGGAAAAAATCATGATATATTTTCCAGACATGAGTAAAATACGCTAATAATTATATATTTGTATACCAATATAGTATATGAATGTATGATGGTATATTGAATATACCATCATACATTCATACTAAGATATTTATATATATGAACTAACCTAACCTATATATAATATATGATATATACTATTAGCCGTGGTTATTACGTAGGTACCTAGCTGCTTATTTCACGTGTACACGTTTTCACGTATTCACGTGAAATTAATATTCGAAATTATTAAACCGTGTATTTAAAAAATCCGTATACACGTGTAATTAACTCACGTGTACACGTGTATTTACGTATTCACGTATTCACGTGTTTTAAAGTTTTAATACTTACTTCTTCATTGTTATATATAAAAATTAGATTTATCACAGGGTTGAGGAATAATTATTTTAGTACAGATATACATTAATTTATTTTAATAAATATAACAAAAATAATAAATTTTAACAATGGCAACATTTTAATAAATACAAAAAACAAATAATTAATATGAATTATTAAGCATGAAATAATATAAATAACAATAAGAATACTATGGTATTAAATGTCTGTTTTGGTACAAGAAAACCAGCAAATTGACATTTTTTGTCAGTAATGACGTTCTTTTAGAAGTCACCACGTTCCCACAAGTTGAAAAACATCGCTCGGAACTCACTGAAGTGGCTGGTATTGATAAATATTTTTTGGCCAATATTGCTATTGTTGGATATTTTTCTTGTCTGGATTGCCACCAATCGAATGGATTTAAATCAAACTTTAACTGAGGTTCAGCTAAATAATTTTGAAATTCCGTCATTAAATCGTTAGCTTCAGAACTATCATCACCGTAGAGAAACTGAAGCGCACTTTTTTGAAGTGATAGTTCACGTTGTGTCTCTACAATATTTGCATTATGTACATTTGTATTGTTTAATAAATCGAATATCGATGACGGATGATCGAATGCTTTCTCGTGCAATTATAGGTTCATGGTCCAAATTTTTATACCGTGGATCAAAAAATTGAAACGATTTGTCGTATAGAGACTATGTTTTCTAAATTCCACTCAAGTTTAACACGTTCTTTCATTTCAGAAATAATTGTTTGTTTAAAATTGGTTATACTTTGATCGTCGTAATCCTGCAGCTTCAAATGGTTATCTAATAATTTTTTAAGCAATGGTCTAACCATTGAAGTAGGTGAATGTTTTTCTCCACATAAAAGTGTTGTAATAACCTGTAATGGCTTAAGAAGAGTAACAAGCATTTCTATTTTTGACCATTGTTGCTCTGAAATTTCTAATTTTTGGGCTATTTGTGGGGGAGTTATCGTTCGATCAGCAATCACGTTAATAATTGGGCACCTATTAGTAAGTATAGATAGTAGGATACCCAACTTATAACAAAAGTAAATAATAATCAGTTAATTCAATCGACAATCGCTGTACGCTAAGGCCAGTCACTGTGTTAGGTAGATAAACGTATTTTATGTTCTTATTGTGATGGGCACTAATCATCAAAGTTTGGTTGCGATATGCAATAACATTTATGGGCAGCTATCCGCTTTAATATCGATATTTCAGTCCCTCTTCGACATCGTTGTCGATTTAACACAACTGTACTACCACCTTTCTTGTAAGTTATATGCATATCAGTTTTCTGAATAAACTTAAAGTGTACAGTCCACTTGTACCTATTGAACACACTGTATATCCGTACGGCCGTACGGTGTATTTGTGAATACGTGAATACGTGAATTACACTAATTCACGTGAACACGGACAGTAAATTCACGTGTATTAAATATACGTGATTGTAAATTTTTCATTCACGTGTACACGGACTTCGTGTTCACGTACATATTACTTCACGTTTTCAAACGAGACCACTAGACTACCTACAATATAAATTCTCTGTTTTAAAAAAATCAATATTCCAAACATTTATTATTATTTTTATCGAAATATATTAATTTTAATAATAATTTGTTTTTGAAATTTTTCTGTTGGTCGAAATATATACTGGGTGATTCTTTTATATAAAGAAGAAGATTTATTCTTTTAAAGTAAAAAACTTAAAAAATTATAAGGATAATAAATAATTAAAAAAATAATTTTTTAATAAAAACATTGTTTTATAAGCGACTTGAAACTATGCAAAAAAATATCTTCAAAAAAATTTACACTTTTTGAAATAATGAGTGTTGTTTGATAAAAGAATCACCCAGTATAGACAGTACAGCAGTTGTGGCCATTGGTATACCTACAGTTATTTTCAATGAAGGTTTACATGGATTATTTATAACAGCTTTTATTTGTTGTTTTTAGTTTTTTACATTGAATTAAGCTGTGTAGATTTGAATTATATTTAGGAACTTGAAAAAAATTATGTTATATTAAAGGTCTGGTGTCAGTGCCTATCCGATTTGTCATGGAATATGTTGTTATTTCCTTGCTTCGTCGTGTTTGTGAAATTCAAATTTATTGCATACGTAATATATTATGTTATTCGGATTTGAAATAAGCCAAGAGAAGCAATGTTTACTCATTATTAATTGTAAAATTAGTGAATATAAATAATCTAAAATTGAATTGAGTATCTATTACATGCAGCAAGGATAATCATTTTCCAAATTTATCTTTCCATTTGATATTTGTCCATTGGGACCTTTGCACCACTTGCACGCAATATCAATCGTTTCGGCCGATTATAATACCATCCAATCCACCCACCATTACGACACATGATGCAAATTAGCGAAACTAATAACTATAGATTTAAAATGTCGAGGGTCCCTAAAATTATGTATGATTTATTTTTAGGTACCAAGCCACCAAGGTATTTGTACGTAATTATTAGTTGTATAGTATATTCTTCTTAACATAATAATATATATATTGTAATTTGTAATAGCTAATATTGTTTATTAAAAGTATCTATGTATATTTAATGATAGGATTTTAAAATATTTTCGAAGAAAAAAACATTTAAAAGCAGTCGTTTCCGTGTCAACCGATATGCTGATATACATTTCCGTGTCAACCAATATGCTGATATAAATTTTTTAGTGGAGCCATAATTTTTGAACTCTCGGGCGCTTAAGTACCGCTATATCGTTTCCCTTTTATAGCAGCGTAATACATTGCCCATACGTATAATTAGAACTCATTATTATGTATGGACATTTTTTTTTTCGTCGCTATATTATTTATGAACGTGGACTAAAATATGAGCGTGTTTCAGTGGCCCGCCGGTGTTGACCGTTCACATGACGTCCGATAACGATGGCGATTCCGTGGTGGTGTCATCGGGCTTGCCAAGTGGTTTGCCAAGTCCCGTGCCCGGCGCTAAAACGGGTCATGTGCCCGCCACTGCCGCCAAGGGTATACTGGTGCACAACAACAAGAAATCGGCCAACACTAACCGTGTAAGTTTCGTTACGAATTCGTCGTCGTCGCCGTCGGCCGAGCAGTCCAAGAAAAAACACAACCAGCCGCGGAGATCGGACGACGACGACCGGTTGCCTTATCACGCCCGGACTGGCAGGCGGCTGACGGGTTTCGGCGTCAAGAGTTACTTGCACGAGTTCTATGACGATCCCGATGGCAGCGAATTGTTTCAGGTTCGTATAAAATTATATACGAAATAATATTATTATACATAATATGTACATACTTATTTTTCGTTAACGTTAGAGTAGGCTCCTGAGAAAATAAAATCAACGGTCAAATGCAAGTTCCAGTTAATATAGTAACAGCCAACAACGTATAGGCATAATACAGTGGAGTACCTAGGCCTTTTTTACGGGCAAGGGGGGGGGGAATATATATATTTTTGATAGCGAGAAAAAATTACGTGTTTAATGCTGACTACAGTTTGACGATTTTGCTACACTTTAGACATATTTATTTTGTAACTATAAAACAACGCTGAAAGATAACAACTAAACCACCAAAAAGAAATGATATCACCAGCGATTTAGACCAGGTTTGACCATAGAAAACAAAAATATTTTAATATCAATGAGTTTGACCTTGTTGTTATTATATTATTATGAATTACTACACGAAAAGTTTTTTTTTTAAATAATTGTAAAAACAATAAAAACAAATTACAGTGGAAACATATATTATAATATGACAATTATTTTATGGATCACGGAGGGTGAATGACCCCCTCGCTACTCATCTAGGTACACACTATACACAACTGGTATATTATGTAATAACTAATTGTGTGTTATTACCATTTATTACTTTTTTTTAAGCCGCAACAGCAATGGGTATTAGGTATTACCTCGTGACATTATACAGTAATAAATTAAAATAATTTATAGTACGATTATGATACATTAAATACATATTGTTAATTTAGGTTGTACAATGTATAATTTGGTTAGTTTTTAATATTTAAGCATTTTTTTCGGGGTTGTCTGGATCTGGACTTAGTGCTTCATCAAGATTTTCTGCAATTTCAAGCTTGGCTCTAAAGCTACTGAAATGCCGGTGGTGGAAAATTATACATTGGACTTTGAGATTTTCTCCGCATGTTTGGCATAAGTCAGTATAAGGTTCAGTTCAGGACATAAGGTGTCTGTGAGTCAACCATGTTTGGCCGATTCGTAATCTATTTAGGATTACTTCCTGTAGCCCGGGTAGTGGTACGGATGTATGGTTGGCCACAGAAGGACTTAATTTAGTTTGGTGTGGTGGATTGACCACATGAGATACCATTGGTTTATGATGTGATTTTATATAAGAAGTTTTGAGTTCTGGGATTTATGGATGCGGATTTAGAGTGAGTCAGGAGAGGTGATAGCTTCTTTAATATAGGAATCTGCCAATTCGTTTCCCTGGATTCCGAAGTGACTTCGTACCCAGAGAAGGATAATGCATTATATGTGAGAAGACATCTCTGATTTTGGATTTTCCTAGCTATGATTTTGATAATATTTTTGCGTTTGGAGATTCTTTGGCCAGCTCGAGCTGCCAATCTCCGGGGCCTTGATCTGAAAAATGATGTCTGGCTGTTGACTGTTCGGTGTTTCGGTTTTCTCTGTTTCTTACGGAGTGTTAACAAGTAAAGCAAGTAGACATCCCACAAATGATGAGGCTATCAACAAGTAAGGTTCGCAACCCTTTTCAACTCTTGATTTCGCCTTTCTACATAGTTTTATATAGGAGTCATCCATCCTTTCACTCCTCACCTCTTGAGTGCCTCTTCCATCACCTTGGTTACAACTGGGGGCCATTATCAGACAATTTTTTTGTAATGTACATTATTATTATATAGTAATCACGCAATGAATGAGTTTTTAACGGTTTCTAGACATTTACATTTTATTTTTCGTAGGACATATTTTATAATGTCTGTTTTTTATGCAAACCCAAACAATAAGATTACCTAACTAGTAAGAAAATAACAAATTAAATGAGCTGAGGATAAGAAATAATTTACTTGTTTAAAATTTGTTTGTAGTATAAAATAATATTCTCTTTAAAGTAGAATATTTATAAAAATTTCATTTCCAATTCAATATTTATACATATGACTAAATTAATTAATACATTTAAATAGAACTTCTCAAAAAATGACCTCTGTGATCACTTTTTCTATTTTATTTTATTTATAATATTTATTATAAAATGTTAAAACTTCAATTAATGTTATGTTTATGGGTGCAAAATAATTATAAATAATTATGATTTCAAACTGTTATTAATATACGTCTTAGATAGACATAAATTATTTAAATTTTAACTCAATTTATAAAAAAATTCTGCATTGATTGATTTTTATTTTTGTAAGCTATTTGGAAAAAAAAATTTTCCTCAACTTGTTATTATAAAGTAATAAGTTAGATAATCTATTATAACAGTTAAAACTGTAAATGAACGGTCCTTTAAATATGTTATAGTTAGAACTATCGTCTATTAACTATATGGGCACTGAAGTTCTATTATGTAAATTATCCACTACTGTAAATGACTGTTTACGTATTATAAATAGAATATTTAATTGCTCTGTGATACCTAACAGGCATTAGACTAAACAATGACCACAGTAAATTTACATAAAACAATGATTACCCCAACTAATGTCCCTCAAGTGTATATTAAAGAAGGTAGATAAAATTAAAAATTAAAACGCCTGTTTAGAGCCACTTCGTACAAATGTAATTTCAACTATTTGAATTGAGAATTTATTTATATAAACACTTTATTTAAATAAAATAATTATTATTTTTACTGACATCAGAATAATATTTTATGTGTACCCACTTAACATTTATGTTGGTTTATGCATTATGCATTAATATAGGATTTTACAGCTCAATATAATTACCTAATAAGAATTATTTTCAATAATAATATAATAGTATTTAGTTAAAACTACGTATTGTTAGAAAAGGTTTTAACTGCTTAGATATTATCTACCTATATTATAAACTTTATCTATATAATCTATTATATAAACGTGAAATTACTTTTATACAAATAAAGTTACTTTGAAACAGCTAATCTCAGAAATTACTCGACCGATTTGGCTGAATCTTTTTTTGTTATGTTCGTAATTATCAGGATGAGGGTTTGTCGAAAGGAAATTTTAGGGAAATCCATCGAAAAAGTAGGAAGTCTCGAAGGAAAAAATACAACAGTCGCTCCATCTGTAATAATATATTTTTGTTTATTGTAAGGTTGCTATTGGTAATTTCAGGAAACGACATTTTTAAACGACTTTTCTTAATTTTTAATTTTTTTTACTTAACGACTTTTTAACCTTCTAGCAGGTTTATAATACCGTTTAGAAAATACAATTATCGATATGTTGAAATTGAATTAAAATCAAAACTTTGCATTTCAAGCCCTACATTATTCAGTATTCATTAATCAGTTCTAAGTTCTAAGATTTTGATTTGATACATTTAAAAAAAATGATTTAAAAATAATATACCAAATCCATCCATAATGTTGTAAATAACTTATTGAACCGATTGGTGTGGCCTAGTGCCCAATGTTAAATTGTTATAAATTATAAAACATTTTTACTGAATAAAGACATTACTGTCTCATAATTATAAATCTACAGGAAATACAGATCTTAAGCACACCCTTACCCTGTGGGCTGTGTCCAACGTGACTACGTGAGGGAGAATCATATTCTGACCATGGTGTTCCAAATGCGGCAAACGCGGAAAAAAACAAGCTGTTTTGTTTTTTCCGCATTCACGTTGGACACAGGGTTAGTTTTTTTTATTGTACCTAATTGTACCTATATTCACCATAAAAGTTGGGGCTTTTCGAAGATTTTGTAAATCATCTGTCATAATTTATTTGTATGTATTGTAAGGTTGCTATAGGTTGTGATTGAATACAATTTTAGACCTGTATATAATATTTGGTCAAAACCTTATAACTTAGTAACCAGGAATTCCTAACGTTGACTTTTCGGCCGTTGTCCAGGGAAGGCGGGAACTTACACATGCACATAAATACATTATAAACAAAGAGTTAATAAAACATTTGTAATTAAGTACCTATGGTATTACGTGCCTCGCTGGGTCTGACAATATATTATATAGGTACTTATAGCGTAATCACAAGAGGGTCTCACGGGTAACTCCGGGAGGGATGGCTATAATATAATATAATATAACGTGTCCTGACTGACTCACTGACTGATCAACGTAGTTCCTAAATAATGATAGCTATTAAGGCTTTCAATTTTCAAAGTACCTACCTATATTATATTATATTAATCTCATAAGTTTAAGATATTTTTTGGCAAAATAATATTATAGACGGGAATGGGGAGGTGTATGATGACACACAAATATTTTACACTCGGGCGAAGCCGGGTGATTCAGCTAGTACGGTATAAATATGAATCATCATTATACGTAGATATATTGAGTGTAAACATATTTTAAAACAAAAAACTTTCTAAATTACTACTAAAAGTCTGAAAAATCTAGTGATGTGATATCAAAATAATGAGAAAAAAAATAATAATTTTGTTTTGACGATGGACCATTTGCAATAAATATAATTTCTTTAAATTTTTTTATAGCTTTAATAGGCCATTAAGGCCTGTAGCTGCTTCTACCAAATTCTTCCATAAATCTCTGTTATCTGCATCCTCCATATACTTGCTGTTTCCTAATTCCTTCACTTGGTTTAAATCTCCCTTTACCAGATCTAACCAGCGCTGACGCGATATTCCTCAGGGGCGGGTTTTATTTAATTTTGCGACTAGTATACTTGTCCCATCAGACTGCCCTTAAATTTATTTAATAACGTTTACTAATTTAATATGTTTCTAGTTATATACATTATACATTTGTAATACAGCCATCCTTATTCATCATAGAATAATTTGAATAAAACTCGAAGCTATATAAAATTATGTATACATAATACATATATTATAATAAAGTTCTTTAAATATGAATAAACAAAATTGTTTAATTACTGGTTTTTTGTTCTTGTTTTAATTAGTAGATAATTAGTTATTACCTTCAAAGTTCAAAAATAAATTGATAGCATAAGTCTACAGTTTGCACACCGAACAAGCAACACGTACTTTTCGCTTTCGCAGTTCGCGAAATAGTGCTGACTAAGTTATTACAATTTTTTTGTTAATGTTTAC